CGCCTAACCTTTCTCTCATTTGTCTTCCAATTTTTCATGGTGTTTATGAACCATTTGAGGTGCAACACTTGAGGCACTAAGCTCTTAAAAGGCTAATGTCTACAAGCTACAACAAAGAGGTAATCTTCTAACTTGTCTTTTATGATTTATATGTCAATTGTATGCTAGTTGTAGGCTTAATGCTTTGGAACAATATTGCATGTATAATTAGAGAAAACATAGATCCAAAGCATTTAGGGTTGTATGTGCACCATAGGATGTTGTATTATACCAAAATCCAACATAAACATCCTCAACCAACTTCCCATTAAGGAAAGCGGTTTTGACATCCATCTGCCATATTTCATAATCATGAAACGCTGCTATGGCTAGCATAACCCTTATAGATTTGATCTTCGCTACTGGTGAGAAGGTCTCGTAATAGTTAATTCCAGGAGTTTGAGTAAAGCCCTTTGCAACCAATCGCACCTTATATGTGTGTACTTTCCCATCCATGTCGATCTTCTTCTTGAAGAACCACTTGCACCCGACCGTCTTACGACCTGGTAAATTGTCAACCAAGTTCCAAACTTGATTGTCATACATAGACTGAATCTCGCTGTCCATCGCCTCTTTCCACTTCGCAGACTCTTGGCCCGCCATGGCTTCCTTGTAGTTGTTAGGTTCATCCAAATTTACCAGTGTGCTATCACTGATAAAGGTATCACCTTCACTTGTTATATGAAAACCATATAACACAGGTGGAACACTAACTCTACTGGAACGTCTCAGAGGTAAGGACTGGTCAACAAGAGTCTCATCCTCAGGTTGAATGCTAGTGTTAGAGGTTCCTTCATCGCTTAACTCTTGAATCTATTCAAGGTCAATTTGCCTCCCACTATCCTCTTGGCATATGAGTTCTCTTTCACGAAAGACACCCCTTCGTGCTACGAAGACCACGTTCTCACCAGGTCTATAGAACAAATATCCAAAGGATTTCTGTGGGTAGCCGATGAAAATACAATGCTCACTACGAGGTTCGAGCTTGTCATGAGTTTCTTGTCTTACGAAAGCCTCGTAGCCCCAAACCTTGATGTGTGCTAATGAGGGAACCTTCCTTGTCCACGTCTCGTTAGGTGTTTTGGCAATCTTCTTAGTTGGGACTGGATTAAGGATATGGGCGGAAGTCTCTAAGGCATACCCCCAGAATGAGATAGGTAACGTAGCTCGACTCATCATGGAACGAACCATATCCAACAAGGTTCGATTACGCCTCTCAGCCACACCATTTAGCTGCGGTGTCCTAGGTGTCGTCATTTGTGAAATAATTCCACATTCCTTAAGACAGTCGTGGAACTCAATACTAAGATACTCACCGCCTCGATCGGATTGGAGCATCTTTATCTTCCTGCCCAATTGATTCTCCACTTCTTTCTTAAACTCTTTGAACTTTTCAAAGGTTTCCGACTTGTGCTTGATTAAGTAGATATATCCATATCAGTTGTAATCGTCGGTAAAGGTTACATAGAAGCGGTTAGCATCCCTTGTGGCGGATATGAAGGTCCCACACACATCGGTGTGTATGAGATCCAACAAACCCTCACCTCTTTCACAAGTACCAGTGAAAGGTGACTTGGTCATCTTTCCAAGCAAACAAGATTCGCACGTGTCATCCAACTTTAAGTCAAATGACTCCAACACTCCATCCTTTTTGAGTTGGGCTATGCGCTTCTTGTTGACATGTCCAAGACGACAATGCCACAAGCATGCTTTTTCCAAACCATTGGATGAATCAATATGCAATACATTATTTCCTAAGTTGTCTACAACCATCACAGTTTCATATATACCATTACAAGGCAATGCTTCAAAATAAAATTTATCATTATAAAAAGCATTAATAGAACCAATTTCAATGTTAAATGAAAATCTAAAACCTTGTTTATACAAACCATGAAAAGAAATAATGTTTCTCACCATATCTGACGAGTAGCAACAATTGTTCAAATCTAGTCCTAACCCATTACTAAGCAATAAAGAATAAACTCCAATCTTGGTGACATGCGACGTTTTCCTATTACCCATGATCAAGTTCATCTTCCCGTGCTCCACATCCCTACTTCTTTTTAGACCCTACAAATCAGAACAAATGTGAAAACCACATCCTGTATGAAGGACCCAAGAACTAGCATGTGATGAGTTGTTGGATTGAATAGTGAAATACCTGCGAAGGTGGGCTTTATCTTCCCATCCTTAATGTCCTGCAAGTATTTAGGACAGCTTCGTTTCCAATGCCTTTTTTCATGACAATGGAAGCACTCTGTTTTCTTTGGATTGGATGAGGGAGTAGCAGAACCACCTTTAGACCCACTAGAAGAGGATCCATCACGAGACTTTCTCTTGTGATTCCTTGAAGGAGCTTTCCTTTTCTTCCCTTTACCATGTCCAATTGCTAGGACTGGGGCAACAACAGTAGGAGTAGGTACAACAGACTTACCTTTTAAACTAATTTCAGCAGTTCTCAGAAGGCCTTGAAGCTTGTGGTAAAGAGTGTAGGATAATGTCAATAGCCAACTCTTCGTCAAAATTGACATTCAACTTTAGCAAGCGGTCCACATATCTTTGCATCTTTTGCAAGTGGGCCGTGATGGACTCTCCATCATTCATTTTTGTTGTTATCATGGAGGCAATGATTTCATACCTTTCTTGTGGTAATGATCCTAATCCCAACCTGGCAAAAAACTCGAAAAATCTGCCAACAGATGATCCAACTCGTCGAGTTCGTGGCATGGACTCGTTGAGTTGGACCAACTCGTCGAGTTCCCTCATGGGACTCGTCGAGTCCAGCAGTCAGAGGCCAAAATTGAAATTTTTTCAGCTTTGAAAACAATACAATTGCATCAATATAACAGAAAACACCCTAGGCTCTGATACCACTGATGGGTTTTGAGCACTATAACAATCCTATGGTGCACATATAACCCCAAATGCTTTGGATCTAATTTTTCTCAAGTATACATGCAATTTCATTTTATCCAAAGCATAAACCCTAGCTATCATACAATTGGAGATTTACAACATAAAAACTAGTTAGATGAATACCTCTTTGTTGTAGCTTGTAGTTCTTGGACTTTCAAAAGCTTAGTACCTCAACTGTGATACCTCTAATAAGTCACAAACACCAAAAGCAAAAGGAGGCTTATAAGAGAGCGGTTGGGAAGCACCAAAATCGGCTCGGGTTTCACCTTGGAAATGATTGGCCGATTTTGGGAAGGCTAGGGGTTCAATTTATAGTGTGGATCCCTTAAAGTTTCTAACATAAAACCCTAATTTACTTAAGCCTTTAAGTATTCCAATAATCCATATGATAGGCTCTTTGGACTAAATCTTAATGGACTCTCACATAGACTTAGTCCATCTCTAATCAACATGGATCATTAACCCAAACTATAAGTATTACTGATTTACCTAATCAGTCCCTGTAAATTTAATCAGTCTCTTTTGATCACTAAATTAATTCCAAATTAATTCTTGATCGATACCAATTAAATAATACGATTTCTCAATTAATATATTATTCATATAATACATTAATAAATCATGAATAACCTATTTCTCAAAAATCCATCCTATCAAATTGCTCCGGTGAAGGCAACCCAAAAGGACCATGCTACTATCGGGTCAAGTACATACCAATTATAGTTATGAGCTTAGACACCTAATCCAACAGAAACAAGAAGACTGTGTTCTCCACTGCGAAAATCAAAACGCAGTACATCTCGCGAAAAATCTGGTGTTTCACAGCCGAACGAAACACATAAAGATGTGATATCATTTCATATGAGAACTGATAACTGATAGTACACTAAATTTGAAGAAAATCCTTGTTACTAAAAATCCAGCTGATATGTATACTAAGGTGGTACTAACTGATAAGTTGAAGCTGTGCATGGCTTGAACTGGGCTTCTAGGAACTTGAAGAGGAGGCAAGGATTATATATATATATATATATATATATATATATATATATATATATATAGAGAGAGAGAGAGAGAGAGAGAGAGAGAGAGACGAATGTTACAAAGGATACAGACTTGGTTGGCAACTGAATGATGATCAAGCCTCCAAGTGGGAGATTGTTAAATATGGAGACTTATGATCAGATCTGGAATTTGGAAAGACTGAAAAGTTTTTTGGGCGGCCCAATTTATTTCTAGGGTTTTTTTTTGTGTTTTTCAGTGGGCTTGGCCTTTTAGATGTTTAGGTCAAATCTTGTCATTTATATACTTATGAACGACCGTATCTGTAACATTGTAGAAGAAAAAACGTGTGTGGAATAAAATCTCTCTCTCTGGTTCGACAGTGGATGTAGCCTATTGCAAGATAGTGTGAAACACTTAAATCCCTGTGTTCTGCGTTCTTTGATTTCATTTCTGATTTCTCATATTACTCAGATCTGTTTTATTTATTGTATCTTCAAACCTAACATGTGAATGGTATTAGTACATGAGTTATGGAATTGTGTATTTACTCCATTTCCAACATATAACGAGTTCCATTTGGGTTTTCTGGTCAATGAAGCCATTCTTGTTGAAATTTCACACGAGTTTCTACTTTCTACATTTCAACATTTCAAACAATCGATGGAAAATTGATGTTTCCATCTACACAAAATATATGATTGTAATTTTAATTTTGTAAACTTAGGTTTGTGATTTTAAATTGAGGTTTCCACATACTATCCATTAGAATATGTAAATTTATATGTGCAATTTTATAACTGAGAGTTTCTATCATCATAAAAATTACCTTAGCAAAGGAGAAAAATCCCAGATTATAAGATGCAATTATATAACTTAGTGGCTGAAAGAATTTGAACTTTGAAACGACTATATATATAAGTAACTACACATCCAAATATATGTGCATGAAATCATGAGAAGTAGCATGTTAAACAATTATTTTCCATTGCTTAATTAACTATGATAAAAGTGTTATGTTATATACATTGCTTCGAAAAGCCTATAGATACAATAAGGTCTAAAAATTAATTACAACAATGGACATTTATTTTTCAAATAAAACTTTACACTTCACAAGTTTTGCTACTTCAATCATGACAAAAAAAGATCTTATTTTTAAAATTTCAGTATAGCTCGATGAACAAATTACTTTTTAGTAGTATGTTCGTCGAGCCACGTGATAATATCAGTAAGAACCCGAGTAATGATCTCATCAGGTTCCCCATCCATTAATGAATGCCATGCATCATCATATAAGTTATATTTCTTGTCTGGACTCTTTGCTTTTTCATGCAAAGCTTTACTCACAGACGGATCTGTCACCATATCAGCTTTTCCATGCAATATCAACAATGGCAACGAAACCTGTAGGTAATGATGTATGTATGAATAAAATGTTTTATACATGACGTATGTTTCTTTTCTATATTGAATAAAACTGTTTAAATGAGATTATATGACCATTTTATCATTACATTCCAAAAACTAAATTTTACAATATTCTATCAATTTTAATGTGAGAGGAGTTAGGAGGGAAAAAAGAAGGGAAAAAAGATAAAGGGTCAGTGTCTTAATAACATTAAGCCGAGTTTTTTTTTTTTTTTTTTTTTTTTTTTTCTTAACTCATGAAGTCATTATGTCCGGATTAAGTAAAAAAGAAACAGTCCCAAGACTTATTTGTAAACTCTCCCACTTATATAAAGTCCTAATTTTTTAATGAGTTGTTAGGGTATTAGTTATATAAAACAATACATACGTTTTCAAGTTGACTTTCGATCTCTTGTGTTGTCTTTAAAAGTTCCATAGCTGTTCCCAAACGTGGTTTATCCTTGTAACCGATAACATTATAGTTTGGCTACATACAATAAAACCGTAAAGAAGTTAAAATAGTTTTCGATAAATTACCAAACAATATAAAACCACAAAAATTTAACAAACCAGATGCTTCTTTTTAGGATCTCTGAATGCCATATCACCGAGATCCTTTTGTGGAACAAGCTTCATCTTTGGCATAACCTTCGCCATACCTATGAGAAATTTTGTTACTGCCCATGGTGGGACCACATCGTCTGCAATCTACAATACATTTAATTCATTATCTTATAATAATATGTTGTAATTTGGATACGAAGGCAAGGGTAAAATAGTACTTTGCACATTGGAGCAACAAGGACTGCACCCGTCCAGAACGTTGGTTGTTTAAGGTGCACCTTTAGAGCCACGGCTCCTCCCATCGACTGCCCCAGCAAGAACCTTGGAAGATCACGTATTTCGGGATTTTCTATAACCCAATAAATTACATAGTATGAATTTTATTTAATTAAATCTTAGCACCGACAAGACAAGACACAACAGAGTAACAGACTGACACGTTCTACATGTATGCATTGGAACAAGGACTAGAATAAGACAAAAACTGCATGTTCCACCAAAACTAGTTGAAAGGGTAGGACCATGGGACACGTACTCACACGGGATTTTGCATTTGTGGAAAAGATGAAAATGTCATTTTCATACTTATTATCAGATAGCTCTAGAAAGCTTGTCTAGTTCCATCCAGTCCGGTACAGACTAGTCTAATTATGTCATGTCCTGTCTTGTCTTGTCCTGACATATGTAGTTTTAAGATTTAATCCAAAGCTCATACCTAAAACTTTTGAATAATGTTCTACAACATCATCTACTAGAGCGTCAAAGCTTGGAATATAGCAATGAAGACCTTCCGAAAGGCCAAGTCCCGGTAAGTCCATGGCATAAACCGCGTATCCACATGAAGCAAACTTTCTAGCAATTCCTGTAAGCATCAAAACACTTGATCACAATGTTGATGTCTTCAAGAAAACCGATTTCTTCTACTAGTTGTTAACTTGTTATGAACACATACCTTCAAAGAAAAATGTGCAAGTGTCTCCATAACCATGGCAATAGCAAATTACAGCTTTGGGAGGTTGTGCCCCCGGAAGCCAACTTTTTGAGAAAATTTCTATCCCTTTAGAGTTCGTCTCATATGACTAGAAAAAACAGGGGAAATATAACCCTTCAAAAGTAATTGAAGGCATAGCATTAGCATTAACATAAAGTTTAATAATATTACCTCCTTTGTCTTCAATCCTTCATATTTTGTCTGAAAAATATTTGAAAGTAAGAAGTAAGTGTCATTCCAAGTGTATCCGGCTCTCATACATGCAACAAAATACAATTACATGAACCATGGATCCTAAAAATCGAATGCATATCAAGAAAGGCTGAAAGGATGAAATTCCTAAAGAAAAATTCGAACTTTTTGTAAATATGGTAGACCATTTAAGCTATTTTGTTTAATAAAAAATATTAATTGATAAAATGAGGTCAAATTTGGCAATATTAGTCGAATTTGGGATTACAATCTCCTCAAAATTGAGGCAATTGAGGCACAAATTTGAATCTAAAGTTTCTGGCAGCCATTGTTGTTGGTGTAATAAAGGTATGGAAATAAAGACGATTGGGGCTTTATGTACTTGTTGCCACCCCACATGAGTTTTCTATTGTCTAATTAAATCCATCAATAAAATGCATTCAATAACATCTCACCCACAATACCTGTGACATCCATTAATCAATCGATATATGCATTCGAGAACATCTCAATTCACTTAAATCATCATATTTTCAGATAAAAATCGAAACTTTGATGAAAATAATTACGTTGAACAAGATATGATCGATGTTAAGCTGAATATCCTTGAAGGCCTCACGTGCGGTGCGCCTCTCTTGCACGCAATCCATATTGGCATTGAGAATTTCCTGTAATTCAGGTGTTAATTCTACGCCCTTCAACATATTAGCAGCTGGAATAAGGAATTCTTCTTCCTCTTTATCGTTGGTGAGGGAAGTAAGACCCTAACCCTAAAATCTAACGTAAAACGAAGAATTCAAAAGAAGAATTGGAGTTGGTAGGCTTAAAGAGATATGATGATGATTGATGGGTTCGTTGTTATGATTTCCGTGAATCAAGTGAAACCCCCTGGTAAACTTTCCAATTCTCAATGTCAGATGTTGATTAAAGTTACCCAACCTGGCAATCTTAAGTCATAAAAAAAGAAACGCAATCTCATTATCTTGATGACTGATTCAAAATCGCCGAGCTACATTAGGAATTTCGAATTTTTTAGAGGTAATTAAAAACGGTTGCAATTTTGTGATTCGACTATTAAACCGACTATTTACTTCGTTAACCATAATTTTCAATTAAAAAATGAATTAGGCAAAACTAAATAAACTAACCCTTACAATTGAGTAATTTATTAAAAATAATAAATTTTTTATAAAATTTATAAAATGACTACTTACTCCAAAATCCTTATAAATGAGTAATTTATTAAAAATAACAAACATTTTATGAGATTTATATAATGACAATTTATTTCAGAACTGGAACACTTATGACCATTTCAGAGTTGATGGTGGTTGGTAGGTATCATGTCTGGAATCTGACCCAAACGTTCCAGACTGAAAAAGCGTATTCTGGAACATACGGATATCCCGGAGTGGTAAAATTGGCTATTTGTGTGTTCTTTGTTCTTCTTCAATGAACATATACCTTTGTTATTGTGAGATTTGTTCCGGACTATTGAAATTAGCTTTTGGATACTAAAAAAATGAGTTTGTATAAGGATTTTTTTTAGTGCTAGTATCTAGTGGATGTCAATAACAACATATTGATGGATCTATGCAATATATTGCTCCAGACTACACATGTTTTGGTGTAGATCTAAGTAGTGATATCAACTTTGGTGGGTTAATGACGTTAGTTGCTCACATGTAACATCCTAATGATGAGGTATTATCAATTTTAACCCAATGTATGAAGAAATATTGCATTTTGGCACTTATGCTTGAGAAAGATTGCAAAATGGCCCATATTGGCATTTTGGTAATTTGTGGGCGGACTCATGTACGCTCGACGTACTCTTAGAGTACGCAGGGCGTATGTAGGTGAGCCACAAACCTTAATTTTTAGGGTTTGAACCCTATATAAACATCATTAACCTTCAAGTACTCACCCCCTCACCAGCCTCCAACCCTCATTTCGTCCCTTTTGCAAACCCTAGCCCCATTGTTGCATCTTGAAGCTAAAGAGTGTGCTTTTGTAACAACGTAAATTTTCAAAACCAAATTTTTTCAAAATTTTAAAACACAATTTTCTCAATTCAAACACCTCCAAAAGTATTATAGTATCAAATCATCAAACACATATCCCAAAAACTGAATATATAATAAATCCATGATCCTCTCAAAACATAACTCAAATCTCTGACGTATGTACAATCAAGTCGGCGCCTTCCCGTGATCCTGAGAAGTACCTGAAATACATAACACATAACACGGTACGCACAAAGCTTAGTGAGCTCCCCAAAATACCACTCATATCTCATCAGCCTCTCATGGCTATGCTCAGATAAGACCCTCTGGTCCAGTGTGCCTCAGTGGGACCCTCTGGTCCCACAACTCAGATGGACCCTCCGGTCCCTCAACTCAGTAACTCAATAAAACACAGCATACATATCACAAAGACAAATAAGCAGGATATCTCAATACACAATACATGCACATAAGACCCTCCGATCACACATAGATTACCACTCAAGGTAAGTATAGTGAGAAGACTCACCTCGTAAGAACTTGGATAATCTCGAACTCGAATCACCGGTCTAGCCTCGGCCTAACACAACGATAATAATCCCTAATTAATAAAGCTCTTACTGAAGCTAAACTAACCCTTCTACAAACTCACAGAAGGGAAAAATACCATTTTACCCCTCCATGGCCTTATAGTCCACAAATTGACCAAACCCTAAAAGTCAACCGAAAGTCAACGACAGGGAGTACGCTGCGCTTACCAACTCTCTACGATGGGCGTACTCGGCTGCCATGCAGGCATCGGGGATGCTCGACCCCTACGCTGTGCGTACTGGGATTACGCCCAGCGTACGTCCCAGTTTCACTCTCCTCACATTTTTGGTCTTAATCAGTTAAGACCTTGGCTCATATCATAGATCTGGACTCCCTAATATCTCTTAATCCATAAAGTCAGTGACTTTAAGCCTTTGCATGGCTGATTAGGTCACAAACACTCAAAACACCCATCCTCTTTCCTCATGAAGCTCATATCTCATGCATGGCTTACTCCTAACGTCCAAGATTGGATTTTTATGACTTTACTCCACAAAATACACTAAAAGGGGGTAGATCAAGGTCTCTGGAGCTCATTGTCTCATAAAGTCTCCATATTTTGAGACAAAACCCTAAAATACTCCATATAAATGCACAAATCAAAAGAGTGAGAAAGCTTGAAGCTTTATACCTCTATGTGAAGCTCACAGCTAAGCTTAGATCCAAAAGCCTGGACTCTCACTCCTTCTTCTCCAAAGCTTCTTCTCCACTTCAAGAACACAAGATGACACTCACAAGCTCTCAAATGCACTCACAAGCTATAAGAACGAAGATTTAGGGTTAGGAGGGTTTGGTGTCTGGGAATGGTGGCCAGGAATGAGGCCATCATATCCTTTATATAGGGTCACACCCCAAATTAGGGTTTCCACTCTGGGCCTAGTACGCCCAGCGTACTAGGTGGTCTCCGCGTCAAATGCATGCATATGAGTACGCTGAGCGTACACTCTAGTACGCCCCGCGTACTCATTTACCACCTTTTCTCTAAAAAGGGCCAAAATGGACAAATGCTCAATAGATCAAGGTTTACAAGGTATACATGGACTTGGGATGTTATAGTTTTTATGCATTTCAAAGGAAGAAGAAGGTGGTGGTGAAGCTTGGAAGCTAGAAGTAAGCTTGGATCTGGAGGTTTTGCATCATCCTCAATCTACAGAAGGTATAAAGTTCATACCTTAGTGTAACATCCATAAAAATTAAGCCAATTTAAAACTTTTTTAAAGCATTCAAAAACCAATAGTTATTACAAATTGTTTTCAAAATAGTTTCATGTCAGAGTATCCCAGAAACCAAAATCATAAAATGTGAGGAGGTGCACGATCACGCCTTCGCCTTCTGGCGATAATCTGAAGTACCTGAAACAAAATCAACAACTGTATGCCCGAATCTTAGTGAGTTTCCCCAAAATACCAATGCCATACAATCAAAACAATATCATAGCAAACAACATGCATATATAAAGTCTACAGTACGATTGGTCCGCCCTCACCGGGCCTTCAGTCTACCTGGTCCACTCTTAGAGTCTTCAGTATGACTGGATCGCCCTCACCGGGCCTCCAGTCTATCTGGCCTACACTCAGAACCTTCAGCATGTCTGGTCCGCCCTTCCGGGCCTTCAGCTTGTCTGGACCGTTCTCCGGGCCTTCAGCCTGACTAGTACGCCCTGACGGGTCTGTAGTCTATCCGGGCCGCCTTGGGTATGTCGGCTTAGAGCACAAAACAGGACCGCCCCAACCCACCCCCAATCACACAATCAACACATAAATATCATACGCTAGCTAGCATGTACAGATAGTCATACAGATCTAACAGATCACTAATCATAGCATCATCCTATATATTAGGATACCGATCTAACAGATCACTAACATAACCTCATCCTATAACTAGGATATGAATTTAACAGATCACTAACATAGCATCATCCTATAACCAGGATATAGATCTAACAGATCACTAACATAACATCATCATATAACAAGATACAATCCAAAAAGGTCCGACCTTGGTTCCTTAGACCATGTTGATATAGTGACAAGAACTCACCTCACAAGTAGTGCTTAACTGGACTGAAAGTATCCGACCACTGTCTCACCGAAAATCCCGAACTATCCAAAATAACGAATACTAAGTCAACAATTGGGATATCAATCTTGACCAAGGGTCCCACATAGGGTAATAGTCATCTTTGCCTTTTCTCTAATTTAGGCCAAGGCCCAATACCAAATCTATGATCCAAAAGTCCACATATACAAGGCCCATCATTGGCCCAATTTTCCCAATTGGGCGTAACTCTATAATTAGGCTCACCCTAAGGTCCATTTCCATATTAGGCCCAAAATACATTTATTCAGAAAGTCCAGCAAAGGCCCAAACCATAATGACCCAAAGGTGCCCCAATCCGAAACCCAAATCGCAAAACCCAACAGAGGGTGTACGCTGGGCGTACTCCTCTGGTACGTTGGGCGTACTCCGCCTTGAGTTGACCACCATCGGGGTGGTTGAATCAGTACGCTGGGCGTACAAAACTTACGCGGGGTGTACGCGACTTTTACCAAAATTCTAATAAGTACTTAATGGCTTAAGCACTTAAGCCTAAACTTCAGATCCATTGACTAAATGAGCCCCAGAACCATAAAGTCTCGAACTTTAAGACTTTGGACGTACAAAAAGCTCTTAATACGTGATATTAATCCATTAAGACCTTCCTACTACTTGCATGGGACACTTTTAGCCATTGGGACATCATTTTTATCATTTAGACCCCTTCCTAGGGTCTGAAAGGCCAGCTTATTACGTCCAAAACGCATCATTCACAAACTTGGGAATTTTGGGACAAAGAAGGTGTCATAAAGCTAATCAGGCAAGATCTACATCATACAAGCATAAAGGTTGGAGCTTTTTACCTCCTGGAGCTTCTAGAGCACAAAGTAAGCTCAGATCTACAAGCTTGCCTCACTTTTCCCACTCCTTGATGCAATACCTTCTTCTTCAACTACTCAAAGCACACACTTTTAGCTCACACACTCAAGAGAGGGGTTAGGGTTTGGGGAAAACGGCTCAAAGCTATGGAGGCTGAAATGATAGAGGATTGTGAGCTCATAAGGACG